CCCTTAGTGCCCCAGTGTCCCAGCTCTATCTGCCATGAAGTGACGAGCATAATTGACACAGCAGCCCAGATGGTGGTGCGAGTTGGTTGCGTTTGGCGGGCACGGGCTCCGCTTTCCAAGGCTGGGCGGCAAAAAGCCTGTCCGAGCCACTTCTGGTGGAGATGTTCCAGACGCTTCCGCGCCAAGTATCGTTGAGTGTGCAAGCAGGTGCATGGCACACGGTCTTGCCAGTCAGCTGCAGATGAGTGCAGGTGTCCACGAGGCCTGGACCCCTCGCAGTGATAGTGAACTCCTGGCTTTGGTTTCGTGTTTCCGGTCTCGTTCGTGTAGCCAGGCCGCTGCTGGGGGGGCTCGCCGGAGGCCACTGAGGCTGATGGCTGTCGCATCTTTGGATGAGCGGCCGCAGCGGGGCGGCTTCGGGCTGGGAGCTCGCAGCTCGCCGTAAGTTTTGAATGAGGGGAGAAAGGTGTGCAAGATCAGGGCATTCATGCTTCAAGGCACTTCGGTTTTGCAGTCGCCCCAGCAACCTTGATGGCGATGGCTCGTGCTAGCTCAGCAAGTGGCGGCCGAATCAGATCCGCGGCCGGTGCTGTGCAAGTGCGAGGCACTTTGCACAGCCCCGGTGCACGGGCCCGGTTTCTGGGTGGAATTCGGTTGCAAAGGATGTCGCTGGAGAGATCGCAAAACCTGCTCCGGCTTCTCGTGCTTTGCCACAGGCCTCCGTTTTGTTTGTGCATCGTGCTGGCTCATGGTGCCATAGGCCTAGCCGCTGTCGTGCCTGTTGCATCAGCAACTGCCGTAAGACTGTCTAAGTCCGTAGACACCCCTTTGTGCCAGATCTGTGTTGATCGCTGCAGTGTGGTGTGGGGGCTGTGGCAGTCGACGGGATGGCAAGGAGTGGCATGGCAGCATTTCAAGCTCAGGAAAACCCCAGCAAAGCGTCTTGCTGCGAATGTAGCTTTGTGATTGGATATCGCAGCTGTTTAAAACCTGCAGTTCTGTCCGCCCTCGCACGAAGTGTGTGAACAAGAGCGGGGCCACGCCGCGCAGCAGAATGAAAACAAGGCAGACTGTCATGACAGCTTTGCGGCAGCTCTTCAGGCGGTTTCGTGCAGCAACATTTGCTGGTGTATTTCTAGTCAAGAATGTGCGGTCACCTAGCCCCTAGCCGTGTGGTCTCACGACATACAACATGAAGTAGGAGCTTCAAAAATTTGTCAAGCTCTGTCAAGAATCCAGGTATAGTGTGTACATGGTCTGTCACAGTCCCCTATGAAACCATGCGGATGTGGTCAAAAGTAGTTATGCAGGCAAGGAGCTATCCGACGGTTGCGCAACGAGGGGAGGCGAGCGATGTCTCTCGAAACGGACGATCGCGGCTTTGCATCATGATCTGATTTGGGATTGTTTCTCACCTTGCTTGGGTTGGCGGCTAGACGAGCAAACCTCGAAGATTGTGTAGGGCACACGTTGGATGCTGTTGCTGCAATTTCGGCTTCAGTGATGGATGGGATCTTGACTGCACCAGCTGGAGTAAGCCAAGCACTTCAGAGGCAATCTTGGTGGGCAAGAACTGCCAGCGTCTTCACAAGGCTTGAGTCCCCAGCAGACA